CGCCCCGAGCCCAGCTCGCCATGGCGCTCCTCGCTCGTGCGCTTTAGCCGGGCGCGCTCGGCTCGCGGTTTCCCCCCACCCACAACTCCCGCTTTCCCCGCCCCGCCTGGGGCTCGGCCGCTCTCGCCCGGCCGGGCAGCGCTCTCTCGCGGCCGAGGAGGCTCCGGCGCAGCTCCGCGGCGAGGGAAAAGCCGAGGCGGCCGGGGTTTGGCTGCGCTCTTTGCGCTCCTGGCGCGCTCCGGGTTGCCGGGCCTGAGCCAGGCTGCTCGGGGGGTGTTTGGGGAATGGGGGGTGTTAAAAAAGGTGGGGGGGAATGTTGCATGCCCTCCAAGGGGGAGACGGGAAAGCGAGAAAAAGAAAAAAAAAAAAAAAAAGGTCTGCAGAAATGAGTTCCGAGGGTCCTTTCAAAAGGGAGTTATCAATTTATTGTCAGTATTGTCTGATTGTCACCCCTCATTTCATCCAGGTTTATCTTAATTTTCAAATTTGAATTTTCCTTCCTTCCTTCTTCCCATATCTCCCACATCTCCCTTCCTTCCTCCCTCCCTCCCTCCTTCCATATCTCTCTTCCTTCCTCTCACATCTTCCTCCCTTCTTCTCCCCACATCTATCTTCTTTTCTTCCTCTCACATCTTCCTTCCTTCCTTCCTTCCTTCCTTCTTCCCAGATCTCCCTTCCTCCCTCCCTCCGTCCTTCCATATCTCTCTTCCTTCCTTCCTCTCACATCTTCCTCCCTCCCTTGCTTGCTTCCTCCCTTCTTCCCACATCTATCTACTTTTCTTCCTCTCACATTTTCCTTCCACATCTTCCTTCCTTCCTTCCTTCTTCCCATATCTCCCTCCCTCCCTCCTTCCATATCTCTCTTCCTTCCTTCCTCTCACATCTTCCTCCCTTCCTTGCTTGCTTCCCCCTTCTTCCCACATCTATTTATCTTCCTTTCTTCCTCTTACATCTTCCTTCCTTCTTCCCACATCTTCCTTCCTTCCTTCCTCCCACATTTCCCTTCGTTCCTTCCTTCTTCCCAGATCTCCCACATCTTCCTCCCTTCCTTTTTCCCACATCTCTCTTCCTTCCTTTCTTCCTCTCACACCTTCCTTCCTTCCTTCCTTCCTTCCTTCCTTCCTTCCATCCATCCTTCCACATCTCCCTCTCTCCCTCCTTCCTTCCTTCTTCAACCCACCCTAGGCAAAACAACTAGGTTAATGGTCATCTTGGTTTATAACCGCCATCAGGAAGGGGAGGGAAGAATTCTGCTGGAGATTTTACTTAACCTATCACTGACCAAACCACAATCGGTGCAAAGATGAAAGTTTTCCCTCCTTAAACCAGCATCTCAACCTTGGCAACTGGAAGACGATTTTGATTCCCAGAATTCCCTGTCTATTCACCCATCTTCAAGCTGCCAAGGTTGAGAAACCCCGCCTTAGATCTGTGAAGTAATTGTGTGTAATTGTGTAAATTTGAGCCAGGAGGTGATCCAAGGCTAGTCAGCAACTTTAGTGGCCTACTCAACTCTTCCGCTGAGCCAACATTGCCTTGTTTCTGCCCCACCTCTGCCCACTTTCCAAATCCACCCATCCAACTTTTCTTTTTTTAGTGACTTTCAAAATATGGAGGCTACTCAGGTTCAAAGGGGATCCTGACCTATCCACCCTCTGCTTTGGGTTTGCCCATCTGCTCACCCCATCATGAACTCCGTGGCCAAGGATTGCAACAACTCCTTGTTGACTGAAGGTCTCTCTTTTTTTAGCCTCAGGGCCGGCCAAGAATTTCCCAAATTCTGCTCCCCAAGCCTGGCTGTGCAAATCAAAATAAACCATTTCCCAACTCCTCCTCTTCCCTTATAGCTGAGTGTGCAAACCAAAATAAATTACTTTCCCAAATCCTCCTCTTCCCTATAGCTGGGTGTGCAAACCAAAATAAATCAATTTCC